TTTTATTTATTTGTGTGTGTGTGTGTGTGTGTGTGGCCAGCTCAGCCCACCAGGGGGCGGGGCTGGCTGGCATGTGGTGCTGGGGGATCGTACCGTCGTCCCTGTGCTTGCTAAGCTTGTTCTAAGTAGGTGCTTTAGACCACTGAGCCATCTCACCAGCCCCGCAAGATAGTCTTTTCCTCCTTCTTTATTTTCTGTGGCCAAAACATCTTTTCTATTTTTATCCTAAAAATTTATGCTTTTACAACAGCTGTACCCAGTGTGTAATACAAAAACTATGCTTGGATACCTGTCATCTTGGTCTTCTAAATGTGTACCATTTCTAATGCCATATCAATTATTACTAACTCTCTTTAGAACAAATTTTTTTAAAAAGTTTTTAAAAAAGAGACGAACAAAAATTTAAGGTTTCTTGAAAGCAAGCAGTAACATACAACCATATGTCCAATCTTACATAAATATATGTTAATCTGAGCAACAGATTTGACGATAAAAATAGATAATATACCAACCATTATTAATCAGCTATTATTGGTTTGAAAATCTGTAACACATGTATTGTTGTATGTTGCCCTGTTTCTGTCTTCATTTCTGATTTTTGTTCTTGCTTTTGCTTTTTATGTTTCAAAATAAAATTAAATTAAATTAAGGGGAAAACCAGCTGGACCTATTATTCTATTTTAAAAATATGATGTGCACCCTTTCTGCCTAACTCCAACATCCTCATCATTTCTTTTCTTACTGTCTTCTCTACCTATCCAATTATTTTGGATGAACACAAGAAGAATTACCCAACAATAAACTTGTCCAAAGATAAAAGCTGCTCCTTTGGGAGGTATATTGTGTCGTTACAAAATATGACTCAGACTACCACACATCATCAGTTTACAACAGCAAGTCAAACGTGTATCACCAATCTTTTTAACGCCATCGATTTTGTAAAAGGAATTGCAGTAAGAGATGGGTGATTAGTATGAATGACCCACAGGGCTCTTACCCACAGCTTGTTTGATATTATCTAGCAGAACCTAACTCCAATTACCAGTGTCCTCATAAGAGAGGTGCAGGGAGATTGGATATGCACAGAGTAGAATGTGCTATGAAATTCAAGACACAGATGGAGTGATTGGGGCCGCAACAGAAAGAATGGTGGCAGCCACCAGCAGCTGGATGAGGCAAGGAATGCCTTCTCCCCTCACCTCTGTGGAAGACCACCTGGGTGACTCTCCTTGAAAGACGAGCAATTGTCTCCATTTTGGCTGTACCTGCCCTTATTCCCATGTAGTGGTATGTACAGAGCTGGCTAGGACTTCTCCTTATTCCTTCAATTGACTTTAAGCAATACACACAGGTCTAGCCCAGGTGCTGATGGTAGTCTTTGAAGACAGCAGGTGTGTTTCTCAGGAAACTCCCATCTGTTGTTTTTTTAATATGAGCCAGATGGAGATGGGAGCCAATGCTCCATACTGTTGGCTGGGGCTGAGCCCGGAAATAGAGGTTATGACTTCCTGGGGCTTGAAAACTTACACATCAGAGCTGAAGCACCAGATCCCAAAACATTAAATACTATCTCAATTGTATAATGCAGATTACTCTGCATATTCTTCTCTCTGCATACTGCAGAGGCAAATACAGGCCTCCGACCTAGCCCAGCTCACAGTACACACCTACTTCCTCCCACTCTCAGTCATTCATCCTCAAGCCACTCCTCCTTTGCAGCTGAATAAAACCCAGGTTTGGCCCTGGGTTGAGGCCTTTGCTCCAGCCATCACCACACTGGACTTAGGACCCTTTGGCTCCCCATAAGTATAAATATGTTTTAGTGTCTATATTCTCACCATGAGTTGCACTGGAAGTGGTAGATTGGAATGAACTTGACAGGATTCCAATATCTTTTCCATGACACCACAAATATAAACTTCCTGGACCATGACAAGGACCACAAAGGGCTCTCTATAACTTCCAAAGGAATAGGCAACATACACACAAAAGGTACTGACACCTGATTCTAGCTCAGTAATAAGGAGCTCAGATTTCTGGCCTCCCAAACTATGATCAAATAAATTTTGTAGCTTGAAGCCACTGTGTTTATGAGAATTTGTTACAGCACCCTAAGAAAACTAGTATGACAGGTATTGTATTATGTAACACAGCCTGATTCAACAGACATAAAAATGATTTAAAATCATAGTTGCTTTTTGTAGAACTCACTTCTTTACATTAAAATTAAATATGAGCACAATATTTTAAAATTTTATCACAGTATTCCTACCCATTAAGTACAAGTTCTCAGGCGTGGTCACAGGAATATTAACGAGTTTAACATCATCTTCATCTGCTTTGTCCCAGGAGTTAGAATTGCCACAAGCACAGCTGTGACAAGAATTGACACTCTGGACCTAAAATTAGGATTGACAGATGTTATTTCAGTTTCTCTTAGATACTGTGTTGTGATCTTTTACATTTACATTTATACAAATCCTACTACTAGTCAAAACCCATGTGATTACCATCTTACATAATCCTGATTCAAGTGAAGATACCTATGACCCTAAGTATTCCAAGTCTTCATCTGTTTCAAAGTATACAAGTACAACAATACTTTGAACATAAACTGGTTTTGTATCAAAAATCAGAGAAAGTAGCAGCTAGCTTATTCTGCTTTTAGAACTTGGTTCCCTGTTTTGTTTTGTTTTTCTTTTCTTTGATTCTTTAAAACAGGATCTCACTTTGTAGCCTGCCTGACCTCAAATTCATAGCAATGTGATTTCCACTTCCTGAGCGCTGGGATTTCAGGTGCATGCCCTCCCACCCAACTGTGGTTTTAGAACTTCTGGCCACAGCTGACTCTGCTAAATGATAACTAAATGTGTCTGTCACACAAGTCCTTCCCCAGAGAGACCTGCTGAGCCAGTCACTTCCATCACCTCAACACAGATAACTACCAAAACCCTACTTCCAGTTCTATTTTCATTTGGGAAACCCAGAACCTCATTTCATTTGCTATGGGTAATTCCACTTTGCCTTTTTGCTTGCATCTCAAAGTGACTCTGTCATAAAAGGACCTCAGCTTCTTCCCAAGGAAAACCCCTCCTCTCAAGCTCACATAATGGGACTCCCACTTCCATAATTTCGTTAAAAAAATAAGTCATTTTACATAGATGTCTTCCTACATCTTTTTTTGTTTTTTCAAGGCAAGGTCTCACTATGTAGCCCAGGCTGGTCTCAAACTTGCAGCCATCAGCCTCCAAGTGCTAGGATCACAGGTGTGTACCACTACACCTGGCTCTTCCCACACCCTTCAGACCCTATTACCAAGTTCTATGGATCATGTTCCATCCTCAGTACTACTGCTGTCAGGACCCTAATGTAGGCATCTATGGTACTGCCTGAGAGGGGAAAAAAAATGGGACATGGTGGTGCACACCTGGACTCCTAGCACTCAGAAAGCTGAGGCAGGAGGATGGCAGCCTGTGCCACACAGTGAGTTCAAGGCCAGCGTGAAGCACATAGCAAGACTCTGTCTCAAACAAACACAAACCTGCTTTAACTTTCAGCTGAGAATATTTAAATAGGCACCACTCTGACTCTGAGGAAATCTAGAATACCAGGCATATTCTTCATTATTCTGCTCAGTTTCATAGAACTGACGTCTGCAGACTTTAATCTAGATGTTCTTACCCTGAAAGAGCCTTGAAAAATTTAGTATATGTCTGAGGCACATAGTCACATAGCACAGCATAACAGCCCCAGCTATTCTGAAGGCTGATGCAGGAAGGTTACTTATACCCAAGAGTTCAGGGCAAGCCTAGGGAACATAGTGAGGCCCCATTTCTTCAAATAAAAAAAAGATGAAGAATATTTTTAGGTACTACAGGATGGACAGCTATACGTTCCAGTGAGATACAGAAGCAAGACATGAAACAGAGCATGGTGATATGCAAACTAGCAGGAGAAATGAACACATGCTCATAGAGGCATATGCTGTACTTTCTAGAAATATACATAAGAAATTCTTGATATTCATCTCTAAGGAGCAGGACTGAATGGATAGAGAATACGTTTTTCATTGCAGACAGTCTTAACTGTTGTGCACTAAGGGGCAAGTGCATTTGCTGCCTATTTTTAAAATTAATTAGACTCCATTAGCTTTAAACAAATCTGAACTTCCTTCCTCATTTGTCAGTCAATATTCTAGTAAGACTGAAGAAGCAGGGCGACCCCTGGCTCACACTTACTACGTGGAGGATGCTACAAAGGAGCTGAGGTGTCCACACAGACAGCGTGCAAGCTGCTCACAAAGATCCTGTCTGGCAGCCGCACTCCTACGTCAAAGCCGCCTCCTAGGACCCCTGGACTCTACCACTCACTCAGATACACTTGGAACCATCAGCAAAAGGACACTTACTCGCCTGAAGGAAAAAAAAATCATATACTTTTTTTTGTATTTAGGACAGGGTGTACGGGGGTGCTCAGGGTCTCACTGCATAGATCGGACTCCTAGGGATCCTCCTGTTTGCAGCCTCCCAAGTGCTGGGATTACAGGCACGTGCCACCACGCCCAGTCTCATGTACTTTCTTAAGGTTCTTTCAATACTAAGAGTTTCAAGTGTGTGACATGTAAGCTAATAAGTAATAAAAGTAAATAAACATAAGAAAAATAATAACATATTTTTTACTTACAGAGCCCAAACTCTGTGCAGAACCTGAGTATTTACTGAAAAGTCCTCCGTTGGCATAGTTACAAGACTGAGATCCTTTGTCTTTGGCAGAACTTAAAGACAACGTCAAATTCTGTCTACTACTGGAACAACTTGAACCTATTAAACAAACATATTAAAAGTATCAATAATTCCAGTGAAAAATTTCACACAAAACTACAAGGTTATATTATATTCATTCAAGAAGCATCTAATTTTTAAAATAACTTCTTTCAATTGCATAGATTATTAAACACTAATATCCATATCTCACCTAGCATGATGGCCCATGCTTGTGATCTCAGCACTCAGGAGGCTGAGGCAAGAGGATCTCTGCAAGTTCAAGACCAGCCTGGGCCACAAAGCGACCTCAAGGCCAGCCTGAACTGTATAGCGAGACCTTGTCTCCAAAACACAATATCTGTATCTCATGCTTTTAACACTGAAAATCCCCTTTTGCAATGAAGAGTAAAGCATTCACCTGATTAACCACAATGATTTGGAATGGTTTTTTTTATAATCAACATAAAAATACTGACAACTATGAACTTTGGTTTTTTTTTTGTTTTTTTTTTTTTGGCAGAACCGGGGATTGAACTCAGATCCTTGCATTTGCCAGTCAAGCGCTTATCCTACTGAGCCATCTCCCTGGTCCCCTAACAACTATGAACTTTGAAATTATAAACTTAAAATATAAGCACTTCTTTTCCTGAAATACATAAACCTTATCCACATTGCATTATATTGTACTGAGGTGAGATTTCTTTTGTGTGGTTTGAAACAGGGTATTGCAGGGTATTGCTAAATCACCACGCTGTCCAGGCTAGACTCTGGGAACCTCCTGCCTCGGCCTTTCAGAGTGGTGGGACTACAAGGCAGATTTAATTTCTAATTTTTTTAAAAAATCCATTTATTTATTTGGTACAGGGTCTCTCTACATTGCTCAGACTTGTGATCCTCCTGTGTTAGCCTCCCCAGTGCTGGGACTACAGGCGTGTGCCATCACCCAGTTTCAGTGCTGCACAACATGTGGTACCAGGGATGGAACCCAAGTCCTCCAAGATATCTCCCCAGCCTCTAGTTTTTAATATTATTTGTTCCACCTATCAATCCATTGCTCTAGAGTAGTCATCATGTCTTTTACTTTAAAAAAAAAAAAAAAAGCAGTTAAGACCCTCCTGGATTCAAATTCAATTATATGGCCTTCAATTAGTCATTTAACTTTTACATATTTCAATTTTCCTTATGTATGAAATAGGAAGAATAACATAAAATATAGTCTTAATTTATAGGACTGCAGTAAAAGCTAAAGCATTACAGCTTCTGCCACAGCAACCATTGAAGAAGAGTAGCCAAGGCCCTCCGCTATCCCATGGCCGCGGGCCTCAACAAGGGCCACAAGGTGACTAAGAGTGTGAGCAAACCGAGGCACAGCTGTAGTCGCGGACACCTCACCAAACACACCAGGTTCGTGCAGGACACGATCCAGGAGATATGTGGCTTCACCCCCTAAAGGTGGCACAACATGGAGCTGTTCAATGTGTCTAAAGACAAATATACCCTCAAGTTCATCAAGAAAAGGCTGGGGATGCACATCCCCGCCAAGAGGAAGCATGAGGAGCTGAGCAACATGCTGGCCGCCACGAGGAAGGCAACTGCCAAGGAGGCCTGAGCCCCTCTGGAATAAAGCTTTGCAGAAAATAAAAAAATAAAATAAAATAAGTACTACACATAGCACTTCATTTATTTTTTTTTAAATATTTATTTATTTATTTAGTGTGTGTGTGTGTGTGTGTGTGTGGCCAGCTCAGCCCACCAGGGGGCGGGGCTGGCTGGCATGTGGTGCTGGGGGATTGAACCGCGGTCCCTGTGCTTTGCTTAGCTTAGCTTGTTCTAAGTAGGTGCTTTAGACCACTGAGCCATCTCACCAGCCCAGCACTTCGTTTAGACTCAATAAAATACCAGTAAATGACAGTGACCATTATGGTTAAAGCTCACTGCACTTTACACAAATAGTCACTCATTAAAAATGAATGATGAAGGGTTGGGAGGGCTGCCACGAAGAATGATTTTTCTTTTTTTCTCTGAATGCCTTCAGAGCAGGTTTGCCTGGCTTGAGTTGTGGGCATGGAACCACAGCAACCTGAGCCTGACTGCTTTGTTGAAGCAGCCACTTAAAGAACTGAGCTAAGGGGCAGGCCCCCTGCCACATAGAATGGAAGCCACTTGAGAGCAGCACTTGGAAGAGACTCCATCCACTGCTGCAGTCTTGTGTGCAGATCACAAGACAATCTGGGTTGCCGCGGGACTCTCTCTTTTGAGTGCGCTGGGGACAAGGCTGTTCTGGCTCAGCAAGCAGCTAAACTGACCTCTGCCCCCAGGTGCACCTGTGGTGTGTCTAGAAGCAGATAATGGGAACACCATGATCCAGAAACAAGCGAGCAGGGAGGTGGCACTGCACAAAATGGCTTCTCCATGTCTTCTGGCAGTTCCACAGATCCGCTTCACTGGAACCCAATCCTACCTGTTTATTATCCCATAAAACTATGACAGTCCTCGGGATTAGGCCATCCACCTGATGCACACTGGGCATTTTCCTACTTATTTTACAGTAAGTTACTTTTTAACCAACCTATCAAGCTATCAGTAGGAAAGCATCATGCTTTGGATCAGCAGGTCCAGGTTACCATGTACATAGAATTTTACACTCAATAAATCTGTGTAGAGGAAAGCTTAAAACAATGCATGTAAAAAATGGGCCATAAATTATGCCTGGAAGCAGGTGCAGGGGCCGAGGTTTGATCCCCAGGCCTGCTGTGCCAGCCCCGCCCCTGGGACGCACTGAGACAGCAATTGAGACTGGGCATGGTGGTGCATGCCTGTAATCCCAGCTCTTGGGAGGCTGTAAACAGGCACATCACTACAAGTCCAATCTAGTAGTGAGACCCTGAACGCCCTGTAGATCCTTCCCTAAAATACAAAAAAAAAAGGTACTATAAATTAAATAATAAAAAACACAGAAGCTGGATGCAGTGGCATATACCTGTGGCTAGAGACACCTGGAAGACTGAGGTAGGACAACAGCATGTTCCAGGCCAGCCTGGACAACACAGCAAGACCCTGTCTCATAATAAAAAAGGAAAACGTTTGGGGATGTGGCCCTTTGGTAGTGAGCAGATTTAGTCCTCAGTAATGGGCAGGGGTGGGGCACTATAATATCTACCACGCTTACATAATTATTTTTACTGTTATACTTTAGCAGTACATATCTTTAGCAAAAATTATAACCCATTCCTTTTTCACCCCCCTCTTTTCTAAGACAGGGTCTCACTATGTAGTTCATGCTGCCACTGAACTCACTATGTAGCATATATCAAAAGTTGCAACTGGGATGGGGAGATAGCTCAGTAGAATAAGCGCCAAGCGCAGGGTCCTGAGTTCAATCTCTGGTACCACAAAAAAAAAAAAAAAAAAAAGTTGCACCTTGAGACCACACTCTTAAGGGAAAAATGTCAGACACACCTATGTAAATGCAACATTGTCTCTCTGGCATGAGAAACTGAAAGTGTAAACAAGAACCAAATGTGGGGCGAGGAGATGTCTCAGTGGAATAAATGCTTCCCTGGCAAGCGCAAGGGCCTGAGTTCAATCTCTGGTTCCGCGCAAAAAAAAAAAAAAAAAAAAAAAAAAAAAGAACCAAATGTATACTAGACATTGGGAAATGGGAAGAAAATGTCCAAATGGGGAGGGAGAAGAGGAGGGGGAGGGGCAAAGGAAAGAAGGGCCAAGAAAAAAACAAAAGGGAAAAATGGAAACAAATCTTTTGCAAATAAGAAGGGAAAAAGGGGTGGAAAGGCGGGAGGGGGAAATGAGAAAAAAAAGAAGCGTGATATATCATGTGATGAGTTCCCAATGATGAATGCTGTGTGTATCTAAAATACACCCATAGACATTGCCAGTCTTAGGGAAAACCCACCACTATTATGGACTACTGGACTATACTGGAATATTTTGCTGAATTCACACACCTATAATATTTAAATTACAATGGAATACCCTTCTCTGACAAAACTAAATAAAAAAAGGGGATACAAATGAACAACCATTTTGTATCTGTATATTCAAAATAGTTATGATAGATATACAGCTACATTTAATTAATTCAATGAATAGAAAGATTTGTTCTAATTGTGTTTGTGGACAGGATATCATGTCTGCATCTTGTACAATGCATAACACTAAGACGACACTATGCAATATATTAGTTATTGAAACTGTCCTACTAATCGGTTTTGAAAACTGTCTCATTGCTACTTGTTTTTCAATAAAATTATTAAAATAAAATATACCAATAAAATTTTTAAAATGTAAAAACAAAAAATACATAAATCAAGAGTTATTTAACAGAACAATTTGAAATCATTTTTTCTGTTGCCTTATCTGTTACATGCTAATCTTTCTAAAATGTGTCTGTTACAGGTTTTTTAGTTTTGGTGTTATGGGTTTTTTTTTGTTTTGTAGAAGTAGGGATTGAGCCCAGGGCTTTCACACTGAACTACACCCCCATCCTTCTTTTATTTTGAGACAGATCCTTGCTAAATCACTAAACTGCCCAGTTGAACCTCTTGCCTTAGCTTCCCAGGGTGCTGGGATTATAGGCATGCACCAGGCCTAGTTTCTAAAATGTTTTCCGTTACTTCCAAGTTAAGTAACAAGAAACTTTTGGAAACTAGAACACTGAAACCACTGTACTCCAGCCATGATTTACACATACAATTTCTTTTGTAGACTCAACTCAGCTATTTCCATATACCTTTATCTGATGCTGCTCTTCTAGCATATTCAAGCAGGAGGTGCTCCGGTTCCCATGGCAATATTTTTCCTTTCTTCTTCCCACGTCTTCTTTTAAAATGATGGGCCAGAAAAATTACAGATATAGCACTCACTGCAGTTACCACAAACAACTTTTTAGCTACTGGTGAAAATTTGATCTGGAAAAGATATATTAAGTTTAAAAAAATCTTTTTTACTTTGTTACTAAAAGGCATTAAAAAAAAGGCATTTCGAGCTTCCAAAAAAATAAATAAATAAATAAAAAATAAAAGGCATTAAAAAACATTTATTTTTAATCTACCCTATTTGCAGTATTTCAAAGATACTATAAATTTACTCTTTCAATGATAGCCCAGGTTTCGCTTAAAAATGTTTTAACATAATAATTAAGCCAGTTGTGTAGCTCTGAGGTAAAGCATCTGCATAATATAAACAAGGCCCTGGTCTTGTCACCCACACTCAATAAATGTAATAACTTACTATGCAGTGTTCTCAAGTTCTCAAGCAAATAATACGGCGCCCCCCAAAAATGGGAGAACAAAACAATTCAATTGCATGAACATTTTTTGAGTAATAGCAATAGATTTAATCACATATTCTTAGTCATGGCAAGATTTTTAACTCTAGAAATAATTAAATCAGATTTTCAAGCTGAACCATTTTTTTTTTAATCTGGGAATTAATTTCTAAATGCCACATCAATAAGCCACTTTATTCCTGAATCATTCCATAGATATTTGCTCAGAGTTTCCCGAAGTCTCAGGCAGGAGCTATTCACTGAAGCTGTACTGCAGTTGTACTCATCAAGCACACAGTGCCTGGTGGGGCCTCAGACCAAGAAACCACAGCTCAGGGGACTGCTTCCTTCCCTCAAGCAGCGCGACAGTGGCAGAGATGCCCCGGCAAGAATCAGAATCCAGACGTAACTGTGACAGACACAGCTACACCAGGACTGGGTGCTCACAGCCCAGCAAGAGCTCCTTAACTTTTTCTCAGCGGCAAATACTGCTACCACCTTCAACTGCAATGCAGCCAAACTATCAAATAAAGTTCACAGAGAGCCAGGAAAGGGTTGCTGCCACCACCTTACAGCACAAAGAAAAACAGACAAATGGCCAAGTTCTCACTTTTCTTGAATCCATATTATCCAAATAGGAAATCAGGGGCTGGTGAGATGGCTCAGTGGTCTAAGGCACCTACTTAGAACAAGCTGAGCTAAGCAAAACACAGGGACCGCGGTTCAATCCCCAGCACCACATGCCAGCCAGCCCCGCCCCCTGGTGGGCTGAGCTGGCCACACACACACACAAAATAAATAAATAAATAAACAATCTTTAAAAAAAAAAAAAAAAAGGAAATCAACAAAGAAGCAAGCATGAAATCGCACCATCTTTAGCTAGACTCCCAAAGAGATCTGTGTTCGCCTCCACTGTTACAGCAACACCCTGAATAATCGATGTATAAAGGAAAAGCCAGGCTCACGGGCACAGAGGCATCTAGCCAGGATTATGGGCCCTGCTGCTCTTGTGAGGTCGTGTGTCACCACGCTGAGTATGTGGAGCAAACCATGGCTTCATGGCCAGGGAGAGAAACAAGCACACACTGGTCCCACATTGCCTTCAAAGGCACATTCATCCTCTCAATGACCTTCTTAAAGACCTTCCATGAGCTCAGGAGGCTGAGGCAGGAGGACCACTGTGAGCTTGAGGCCAGTTTAAGTAACATAGTGAGTTTAAGGTCAGTCTGGATTACAAAACAAGACCCTGTATCAGAAAACCAAACCAAATAAAATAAACCCAAGCCAGGCATGGTGGTGCACACCTGTAATTCCAGCAGTTGGGAGGCTAAGGGAGGAGGATTGTTATGAGTTTTGAAACCAGCCTGAGCTACAAAGTGAACTGCATAGTGCCAGACTGAACTGCATAGTGAGACACTGTCTCAAAAAGACAAAAAAAAAAAAAAAAAGCTCAAACACTCAACAATGAATGAAGAAATGTGCCTCTGTGTAACAAAGGCCATACGTAATAAAGTAAGAGCTAACTATAATGAACTGAAAGCTCTTAAAGATCTGGAACATGATAAGGATGCCACTTTTACCACTTTTTGCTCAATGCTGAAGGGCTAGCGAGAGTGATGACACAGAGAAAGAAAGGACACTCAACTGCGCCGGCCCTGCCCCCCTGGGCACACTGAGCCAGCAACAGAGTCCAGGTATGGTGGCACATGCCTGTAATCCCAGTGTTGAGGAGGCTGGAAACAGGAGGATCACCAGAGTCCCATCTGTGCAGTGAGACCCGGTACCAAATACACAAATGAAAAAAAAAGAAAAAGAAAGGGAACTCAAATTGGAAAAGAGGGACCCGGGGAGATGGCTCAGTGGAATAAGCGCTTCCCTGGCGAGCACAAGGGCCTGAGTTCAGTCCCTAGTTCTGGAAGGAAAAAAAAAAAAAAAAAGAGGAAAAGTGGGCCTCAGATTTCACCTACCACATTCCAGTAAGAAACCTATTATCTTTATTTATTTATTTATGTTTGTATTTAATACAGGGTCTACAGAGTCTCACTATGTAGATCAGATTCTTTTTGTAGTTAATCTCCTGTTTCAGCCTCCCAATTACTGGGATTACAGGAGCGCACCACCACGCCTAGTCTCAATCACAGTCTGTGCAAGCCCCAGGGAATCAAACCCCAAGACTATTATCAAAAAGACAAAAGATATCAAATGCCAGTGAGGGAGAAAAAAAAAAAGAAAAAATAACTCTTGCACACTGTTGAGGAAAATATAAATGAATATAATACAGCCAATATGGAAACCAGTGCATATGGAAATTGGTTCTGAAAATATTAAAAACAGAATTACTGTATGATCTAGCAATCTTACTCCTGGATCAAAGAAATACCTGCAATAAACTCGTTTATTGTAGGACTATTTAAAACAGCCAAGAAATGGAACTAAGTATCTATCAACTGAGTAGAATAAACAAAATGCTGTACACATACACAAAACAGAACATTAGTCACAAAAAGAATGCCAACATTGACCAAACCTGTCATTAATGATAACTTGAATGAAACAAGATCATTGCATTAAGTGAAATATGCCAGGCACAGATAGACAAATACTGCATGATCTCATGTGAAATCTAAAAATACATACTCAAAAAAAAAAGAAATGGGGCTGGTGAGATGGCTCAGTGGTCTAAAGCACCTACTTAGAACAAGCTTAGCAAAGCACAGGGACCGCGGT